TGTGAGGTGTGGGTCTGCACCTAGTGGGGGATGTCTCCCAGTTAGGCTACTCAGGGGTCAGGGACCCACTTGAGCAGACAGTCTGTCCATTCTCAGATCTCAACCTCCATGCTGGGAGATCCACTGCTCTCTTCAAAGCTGTCAGACAGGGGCATTTTCCTCTGCCGAGGTTTCTGCTGCTTTTTGTTTAGCTATGACCTGTCTCCAGAGGTGGAGTCTACAGAGGCAGGCTGGCCTTCTTGAGCTGTGGTGGGCTGCACCCAATTCGAGCTTCCTAGTGGCTTTGTTTACCTACTTAAGCCTCAGCAATGGTGGGCACCCCTCCCCCAGCCTCGGTGCCTCCTTGCAGTTAGATCTCAGACTGCTGTGCTAGCAATGAGGGAGGCCCTATGGGCGTGGGACCCTCCCTGCCAGGTGTGGGATATAATCTCCTGGTGTGCCGTTTGCTAAGACCCTTGGTAAAGCACAGTATTAGGGTGGGAATTACCCGATTTTCCAGGTGTTGTGTGTCTCAATTTCCTTTGGCTAGGAAAAGCAATTCCCTTCCCCCTTGCACTTCCCAGGTGAGGTGATGCCTCGCCCTGCTTCAGCTCTCGCTGGTCGGGCTGCAGCCACAGACCAGTGCCAACTGTCTGACATGCCCCGGTGAGATGAACCCGGTACTTCAGTTGAAAATGCAGAAATCACCCGTCTTCTGTGTCACTCACGCTGGGAGCTGGAGGCTGGAGCTGTTCCTATTCGGCCATCTTGGGTGCACCCCCCCATATCCCCTTTTCATAGTAAGTCTTCAAAACCTGGTGGATATTTTGCACTTACCATACATCCCAGTTTGGACCACCCCTGTTTTAATTGCTCAATAGCCACGTTTAAGCTCTTTGAGTACATGTATGATATGTGTTTTGTTTTCCAGTGCTTAGCATATGCCTGGTACCTGATACATATGTTTAAATACTTGTTAAATGAACAAAGGAATGAATAAGTGGCTGATGGACATGGATAGGTGTGTTAGTCATCTATTGGTGTGGCTATCATATTAAGCAATGCCAACATAGAAAACAGGTTTTTCCAGTGTTCTGCAAAGTGCTATTCAGGCATAGCTACAAGATAAGCCTCCAACTCCCCACTTCCAACCAGAATGGCTCCTGGAATCCCTCTTCTGCAGAAGGGAGACTAGTGAAGCAGTGATGGGGAGTATGGCCTTGAGCCAGCTGCCTGCGCTTAAACTTAACCTCAGCCACTTTCCAGCCACAGTATCTTAAGCAAGTTATCAAATCTCTCTGTGTTTTACTTTTCTCTTCTGAAAAATGAAGATAATTTAGTTCCTCTCAGAGTTTTGTGAGAATTGTTTTAATACATATACAGTGCTTAGAGCAGTGCTTAGAATACAGTAAGCACTTTATAAATGTAGTCTGTGTATAGAAATTTTAAAATGGCCACTGTCTCCTGCTCTTTTAACATAGAAATCTGATTCTGCCACTTCTTGGTTAAAACGCTTCCAAGATTTCACTGCAAGGACCTGACCCCTGACTGCCTCTCCAGTCTCCTTTCAAGCCTCTTCCCTGGCTGTCTGCACTCCTGCCTCTGTTTTCACTTCAACTCCTCCCCACTTGCTGGTCCTTTGCCTGGAGCCAACTTCTGTTAATCCTGTCAGTTTTGCTAAAATATTATTTCCTCATGGAGGCCTTCCCTGGGCCTCCAGATTAAATTAATTCCCCTTCCTAAACACTTACAATATGCTATACATTTCCTCTCATTGCACTTGTCCCAGCTGAAATTACTTAGTTTTAGGTATGATTAGTTGTTAATGCCTGTGCCCTCACACCCTTCTACCCTATGGTAAACTCTTTGAGGACATACATCGTATCTGTTTTCTTTTCCCATGCTTAGCATATGCCTGGTACCTAACACATATTTTAAAATACTTATCAAATAAACAAAGGAATGAATAAATTGGTGATGGACATGGATAGGAGTATTAGTTATCTATTGCTGCATAATACATTACTACAAACTTACGAACTTAAAACCACACACATAGATTATCTCACAATTTCTATGAGACAGGAATCCAGGCATGGCTTGCCTGGGGTCTCCACTTAAGGGTCTCTCAAGAGGCTGCAATCAAAGTGCTGGCAAAGGCTAGCATCTAACTGAAAAGCCCAGCTAGAAAAGGGTTCTCTTCCAAGTTCATGTGGCCGTCGGCAGGGTTCAGTTCCTTGTGGGCTGCTGGAGTAAGGGCTCAATTTCTTGCTGGCTGTTGGACAAAGCCTGCCTTCAGTTCTATGCCATGTGGGCCACTCCATAGGGCGGTTCACAATATGGCAGCTTGTTTCAGAGCCAGTGAGGGAGAGAGTCTGCTAGCAAGAATGTTATAATTCTTCATAAATGTCATCATGGAAGTGGCATTCCATTGTTTTCCATAGTCTGTTGGTTAGAAACAAATCACTGGTCCTGCCTGCACCCAAGGGGAGGAGAGTACTCAAGGGCCTGATCACCAAGGAGGCAGGATCATTGGAGACCATCCTAGAGTCTGTCTGCTACAGTAGTCATGAGGACAGATGGAAAGGTCCACCTAATTTGGTAGTTAATCGGTAGTATATTGTATACTCCTTGTATATGTAATTTGCCCTTCATCTGTTGTATTTCCTGTGCATTTTATTGTGCTCTATGAGTCTTCTGCAGCTCACAGGTAATGGATGCCACAGCCAGACTAAAAATCAACCTCCAGGATGTTTTATATACAGCTGTAATTCTCAATGCACTGTAACTGCCCTAGAATCATACCATTTCTTCTCCTCTAATATCCCTTCTGCATGTTTGGCAATATCTCTAAAAACTGGTTTTGGAACATGATGAACATATTTGGTACCAAAAATGCTGAATATCAAAATGGTTGTTGTTTTCTTCTGGGCAATGAATTTAATACTTGCACTATTCTATGTGATTTCCCATGTGGAAATCTTTTCAGAAGCCAGATAGATTTTTCAAGCATAAATTCATCACCATGCTTTGATGGATGAAATAAGTTTCACTGACATTTCAGATTAGCACTTCTTTTCCTAATCTTATCCCATTCTTAAATGCAGTGATTTGTGAAGCAATATTATATATGTTTCTCCCAATCTTTCCATAATGTATACCCCTTTCAAATGCTGGTAGATGGGTATTTCTTTAGCCAAATTGTACCATTCTGTTTTACTCCTCTCTCAGAAATTGTTCCTCCTGAGTCATTTTATTAATTTTTCTATCCTCCCTCCAGTTTTGCTTTTGGTTCCATTATTTGTAATATAATAAGATGCTAGGACAAAAAATAAATGCAGACATGCACTCAAAAGAAAATAATTACCTGAAAAACATCAGAATATTTCAATCTGTTGTCAAGCGATATATAAGAAAGCTACTGATCCTCACCAAGAAGAGGCTAAAGCCAAATATTTTTTCTTTCCAATTCCACAGTCTCCTACCTCCAATTTCTGGCAACCTTCTTTTGAGAGTCAACACTGCTTGGCTATTCATTAATGGAAAATTCACGCTTACTACCCAAATTCACAAAAAAATTGTGATTCTGTATGTAATGGTCTTGTTTGTGGCATTGTTTGATTATTTGCTCGAATAAGCCCTTCTTTAGGAATTTACATAACCCAAAACGTAAGTGCTGATTTTTCCCAGGTGTCTATAAAACAATTGGCCTTGATAACAGTCAGCCTTTCTAGCTTTTATTCATCATCCTCTTTTTTGAAAGCAAGGACTGTATTTTCATTTTTATGATTTTCTCTTCTCCTAATAACCACCTGCCTCTCACCAAACCTCATGAGCCACTCTGGTGCCTCTGCCCCAGGCCTCCTCAACGCAGCCCTTCCTTCACTCAAGTGCTGCAGGGGCTCAGACTCCAAGAGGGTATGTTCTGCAGTGGAAGGCACACAACTGTGAAGCCAGATCAGATCTCAGCTCTACCATTTCATTCATTCCTTCCTTCCTTTCTGTTGTTTACACAGTACCTGCTGTGTACTAGGTGCTAGGGTCTATGTAGGATATACTGTGTGACTTAACCCAGCTTCTTCCTCTGTATAATAGGTGAAAATGAGGAAATTGTTAAGATCAGAGGTCATGTATGTGAAGTACCTACTGGCATATCTGGGACCCAGCAGGGCTCTGCAAATGGCAGCTAAAGCTCCTCCTAACTGTGCTTTCCCTGCTATGTCATGCTCCTGTCATGTCCGACGTATACAGATCCTGCTTTCTGTTTCTAGAGACACTGGATCCTTCTTGTTCCCCTTTCCCCTTGATTTCTGATCAGACTAGAAAAATTAGTCATACTGCATGTACTGAATAGCCACGGATGCAGAGAAATGTATTACTACTCTTGAGATAATATTTGATTCAAAAGACCTCTCTTTGAGGCCAGGTGCATGCCTGTAATTCCAGCATTTTGGGAGACCAAGGCCTTGGGAGGATTACTTGAGCCCAGGAATTTGAGTCCAATTAAGCAACATAGTGAGATTTCATCTCTACCAGAAAAAATAAATAAATAAGATTTCTGGTCATCCACAGTTCTGTGTTCTACATTTTCATCATCCAGTATTTTCTGCTGCTTTCAAGATTGGTGTAGTTCTAGAAATTCTTGCCCTGGTATCCAATTCTAGACCTTGATAACATGAGCATCTAGGTTTTATTTAACAATACAAATTACACTCAGGAAAGAAGGAAGAGAAAATGATTAAGCATCAAATATAGGCATGATACTTAAAGCTTTCACATACATTTAATGCTTCCAGCAACCCTGGGAGGGAGGCTTATAGAAAGTAAACAATTTGTCAAGACTTGTAAACTTTTTAGGGGTAGAACAGAGACTTAAAACCCACTATTCCGTGACTTGTAAACCAGTGTCAAATCCATATTGCCTCCACAGAGACATAAACAGTATTTTTCTGTAACTCATTTATTTTATCTCTAAATGTCTTTATCCACAGACCATCCTAAACTTCTTTCTTCTCAAACAGGTCATAGACCTCAGCAACAATGATCTGTCCACCATCCTACCAATGATGATCATAGCTTTAGAATTTCCCCATCTAGTGGTTGACTTGGCTGATAATCACTGGCAGTGTGATGATAGTGTGACAGTCTTTCAAAATTTTATTTCTGAATCCTGGAGGAAAACGTGGAATGTCATTTGCAACAGGTGTATAGGTAAGTCAGTAACGTCTCTCTGAAAGGCTCCGTTTATACTGAAAAATGCACATAAACATTTTAGTCTCATTTGAAATAATGACAGTCCCCCTGAAAGCAAAAGTGCTGATCCTTGGCATTAGTCAGTCTGTGTCATAGAAAAATCACTGGTGCCAAATAACTGTTTTCCTCAGTTCATCAATTATTTTCTTCATGTGGTCAAAGAAACACAGTTCAACTCACTCAGCATCAATTGGATTTGGTCAAAAGGAGGAATTCCACTAGAAGAGAGTTTTGTCCTGACACACCAAACTTTATTCTCAAGAACCCTAGACAGGCTGTTGGCATTAGACAAGAATTAAAAATTGAGTAAAATTTAATGTCACAGCTTTATCCAAATTCCTAACAAATAACCTATTAAAGAAAGACCTTTTAAAATTAGAAATATAATTATTTTAGATGTTTGCTAACATTCTAAAGGTGTGATCCTCTACATACACAAAACACACACACATATTACAAAAGCATATTTTCCTTTGATTTGTTCCTTGCCCCTCTCCCAAAGTGCTGGAATATGTTACTGGGGTTGAACATTCTGGGAAGCTTTTTTTTACATTAACTACCTTGGCTAAATCTCAACCTCATATATATAAAAAAAAAAAGTCCATGAAAAAAAATGAGTCATAGATTCTGTTCTATTCAGGACTGCCATTCAAGTAGGAACATGGCCATGCCTACCAGGTTTAGAGGAAGTTCATGAAGATCAGAGAGAAGTCTTAATGTCATCAGCTACATTTGTTTCACTCCACAACTGACATTCTGAGGGTAGAGAGCGAAATGTCAGGAACCAATAAAGAAAACGGAATATTTTTGCTGTTTACTAGGACATGGAGTAGGTAAGATTATGGAGGAAGGAGAAGCCACGTACATGTGGCTGTCCCTCTAGTCTGGCTTCTTCCTCCCACAGGCAGCAGTGAGGCAGGAAGCCTAAGGTACATACAACCTCCAGGACCTCTCAGCAACAGACCTCAGCCTGATAGCCATGTATAAATGCATACAACCATAAACATGCTGTTGGCATTAAACAAAAACGAATGAATGAATAATATTTTTAAACTGCTGATCATGATGTAATGTACACTTTAACATGTAGCTAGATAAGGACTGAGGAGGACTCACAGAAGCTTCTGAAACCCCTAGAATCTGGAGCTGGGGGCAGTGGCTCACACCTGTAGTCCCAGCTGTTCAGGAGGCCAAGGGACAAGAATCGCTTGATGCCAAGAGTTTGAGACCAGCCTTGGCAACGTAGTTACAACCCTTGTCTCTGTAAAATGGAAAATTAAAAAAAAAGCAGCCCAGGCGTGGTGGCACACACCTGTAGTCCCAGCTACTCTGGGGGCTGAAGTAGGAGGATCGCTTGAGCCCAGGAGTCTGAGGCTTCAGTGAGTTATGATTGTGCCACCCCTCTCCATGCTGGGTCACAGAGACCCCAATTCTGAAAAAAAGAAAGAAGAAAAGCCCCTGCAATCTTATTTCAATGTTTGCTTAATGTGTATTTTTTTAAATCCCACTTTCAGGGAGTGAGGAGGCCAATGGGGGTACTCCCCAGAGCAGGATTTCCAGGGAAACCAGCCTTCCTCCCATTCATCTGCATCCCGTGAAAAGCCTCATAAGGAGCAAAGCAGAGAGGCCCCAGGGAGGAAGGCACATGGGTGTTTCCACTCTGGGGAAGAAGGCAAGGACCAGCTCTGGTCTCAGGGAGAAGCAGAGATGGCTGCCAAGGAGTGTTAGAAGCAGGCGCGATGTGCAGGCTGCCGGCAGAAAGGAGGACACTCCCCAGGACCTGGCTCTGGCAGTGTGCCTGTCAGTGTTCATCACATTCCTTGTCGCCTTCTGCCTGGGGGCTTTCACAAGGCCTTATGTTGACAGACTGTGGCAACGAAAGTGCCAGAACAAAAGCCCTAGCCTGGACAACGCGTGTTCAAACGAGGGCTTTTACGATGACATCCAAGCTGTGGGGCACACACCACACCCAGAGTCCCATCTGCGCCAAGCATTTCCTCATCTAAGCCTCTACAAGAACCAGACCCCTTTCTGGGCGACACAGCCACACTCACATGCCACCATAATTCCTGATAGAACTCTGGGAAGCAGCAGGAAGGATCCTGGCAGTCCGCAGAGCTCAGGACAGTGCGGGGACAACACCGGGACAGGAAGTGGAAATGATAGTGCAGTCTATTCCATTCTCCAGAGATACCCACATGCTGGTAACCATGAACTAATGTCAGCAACACAGGATCACATCCATAGGAATGATGTTCTTGGAGAACGAACTTACGAAACTGTGGCCCAGGAAGAGTCTCTCAGTGCACATTCAGTGGGCGTCTCTTCTGTAGCTGGCACGTCTCGTGCTGTCTCTGGCTCCTCTCACGCTGTCTCTGGCTCAAGCTGTTACGATTCCAATGAATTAGACCCGTCCCTCTCCGGAGAAATGACAGCTTCCCTCTGTAAAATGCTAACACATGCAGAAGCACAGAGGATTGGAGACAGTAAGGAAAGAGGGGGCACTGAACAGTCACTTTGGGACTTGCAGATGGAATTTTCTAAGGAAAGGCAAGTGAGTTCGTCCATTGATTTGCTGAGCATACAGCAGCCAAGGCTCTCGGGGGCAAGTGCTGAGGGAGCACTTTCAGCTCACCACAGCGAGGTTCCACACGGTGACCCAAGAGACACGGACCCATCAGTCTTTCCTCCAAGATGGGATGGTGGCCTGGATATCACTCCTGCTAACAAGGAACCAGTGCAGAAATCCACTCTTTCTGACACTTGCTGTGAGTTGGAGAGTGACTGTGACTCTGATGAGGGGTCTCTGTTCACTCTGAGCTCCACAAGTTCAGAAGGTGCGAGGAGCAAGACTGAAGAGGCAGCACCTGACGAGGAGCCCCTGCAGGACGAGAGCTCAGGGGCAAGCAAGGACAATGTGACGGCTATAGACAGTCTTGAGGACAATGTCACCTTCCAAACAATTCCAGGGAAATGCAAGAATCAGGAAGATCACTTTGAAAAATCTCTCATTTCCACTCCAGACTCTGGTGTGTACAAGACTCATCTGGAAAATGCCTCTGACACTGACAGATCTGAGGGCCCATCACCCTGGCCCAGGTCACTGGGGAATAGTCCCTTAGGGGATAAGATTCCGGGCATGTTTACTTACAATTATGACACAGCTTTTGAATCCAAGGCAGCAGAATGGCATTGCTCACTTAGAGACTTAGAATTTTCTAATGTGGATGTTTTACAACAAACACCACCATATTCTCCTGAAGTTCCCTCAGATCCTGATAAGGCTGCCTTCCATGAAAGAGACTCAGACATTTTAAAATAAGAAACTTTCATTAAGGAAATATTCACAGCTCTAAACAATATTCCTTTAATGATCATGGCAGGGGAAAACTAAAACCTTCACAACAAGATCCTGAAGGAGACAACATGAATTCCAACCAGGTGGACACTGATGCAAATGAGGGTTTTGTGGGCCCACTTGAGGAGGATGATTCTAGAAGGGTTATAAGCTAAACACACTTGTTAACATCCTGTGGGGATGAACCTGCTCTTCAGTGTGAAAGAGAAAGAGGGGAATATTTTGAGATCATTCCAAGAACCATGCACCATTATTACAAGAGCTCCCAAATGAAACCAGTTCACTAAGAACACAGGAGCACTTCATCAATAGGTTGGGATAAATATTCAGAAGATAATCTGTTGCAGTTAGACAAAATGATT